TCTCTCTCTCTCTCTCTCTCTCTCTCTCTCTCTCTCTCTCTCTCTCTCTCTCGTCTGGTCCTGCTGAGACTAGACCCAGGACCCCCTGGAACCGTAGTTAATAGATGGTTGTGACTGACCCACATATGAACACATGCTGGGACCCAAACTCCAGTCTTTTGCAAGAGCAGTAAGCTCTCTACCACTGAGCTATCTCTAGCTAAAAAAAAGAAAAAAAAAAGAAAAAAAAATTGGTTTTTGAAAAGTAATTTTTTTAAATGGTGAAAACAAGAGAGATACTCAAGAAAAAAATCCCCTTCCTCTTCTCTACCATTGCTAAGTTCCTGAGCAGTGTACTGTCATACCGTTATTTTCTCTAAGAAAAGACGCCCACTCACTCTCACTCTTCTCCATCACTAAGGGATGATGCCAGGTTATTTCATCCTTGTGATGTTAATTTTCTTTGTTTTTATGCAGTGCCTATGAGCTTTTTCTTGTTATTAGATGTTTTTACTTTTTTTCAAATAGTCTGTTCCTCACTGGCTCTAAGGTGTGTGTGGGGCTTTTTCTTAGTAAAAGCTCTGTTGTTGTTTTTTTCTTTCTGAGACAGGTTTCTCTGTGTGGCCCTGGCTGTCCTGGAATTCACTCTGACCAGACTGGCCTGGAACTCAGAGATCTGCCTGCCTCTGCCTCCTCAGTGCTGGGGTCCCAGGCGTGGCTGCCACTGCCCGGATGTAAAAGCTCTACATGACAAGAACACACGCATGCAGACCAGCGGCTGCGCTGGAGAAAGCCTGAACCCATCTTCACCGTGAGCTGCAGGCAGCTTTTCAATACCTCCAGTAAGGTCCAGTAAGGTTTTCTTACACATAACTTACCAGTAGTCACCATGGTGACAGCCAGCATTTGCTTGGTAATGTGGCTGTCTTGATATTGTTTCAAACACAGTCTTATGTATCCCAGGCTGACCTCACTATTCATTCAGCCGGGGCTAGCCTTGAACTTCTGACCCTTGCATGTGCCACCACACCTGGTACAGGGAATTGAACCAAAGGCTTCATGCATGTTAGGAAAACACTCTGCCTGTCTTGGTTTCTCTTGTAGAATGCCTGTTACTCAAATCAAGCCTGTGATATTGGTAATTTTGTTTCTGTTTTACAGCTGAAGAACCTGAAGACTCACCAGAGAAGTGAGTGGAGCAAGAACTGTTCTCTACAGGTTGGAGCTTAACCTGTTCTGGTTCCTCCCACCTTGTCTGACCCCCTGGATCACAGGCAGAGGGGAAAGAGTATAGTTTAATCACAACGGTACCTGATGATGCTTTGTAAGGGTTTCCTGGCGTAAACACTGCTGTGTCCAGTCATAGTGATTGTTGAACCATCAGGGAACATCCAGCCACTGTGCCCCTCTGGGAGGCTGCTCTCTGAAAGGCCAGAGGCCTTGAGGCCCTGGGCCCTGAGAACCATAGATGGAGAAGAGGAACTACTAAGCACTTACTGTGCTGGGAATGAATGGAGTCATTAGAGATCAGGGCTCACGGATTGAATGCCTGCCCTAAAGAAGTACCAGCTGTTAGACGAGAAAGACAACGTGGCAATAGAGGACGGGCTGGCTGCAAATCTGTTGGGAATGACAAGCTTCTGTGATGAAGGGGAAAAGAAAAAAGTTGAGGTGAGTTTATATGGGGTTTCCATAAGGTGCAATGTGTATTGAAAGAAGGTCTTTGTGGCCGGGTGGTGGAGCACTCCTGTAATCCCAGAACTCAAGAGGCAGAGGCAGGTGAATCTCTGAGTTCGAGGCTAACCTGGTCTACAGAGTGAGTTCTAGGACAGCCAGGGCTACACAGAGAAGCCCTGTCTGGAAAAACCTATATATAATGTAATACTCACTTGTGGAAGGGTGCTCGGCTCAATTTACAGACGAGGAGGCGGTGTTGAGAGCCTGAGTCACATCAGCAAAACAAACCAAAAACAGGGACAGGAATTGAAGCTAGATCTGTGTGGAAAACCAGGACTCTTCACTGCTTCCAAAAAGAAAGACTTGAGAAGGAAAAAGAAGCCCTGGGAGGAAGGCAAGAGTCGGAGGTCCAAGTCTGTGCAGCGACCAGGGATGAGCTGAGGAAGGTGTTTGTGTCATAAGTGGAGGCTGTGGCTTTCACCGTGAGGATCAGAGAAGCAAGCCCCAGACTCAGCGCCCTTGGCAGAATAAAGTCAAATCTATAAACATCCCCAAGCACGGTTCAGCTGGCTGGACAGAGAAAGCCAGCCAGGTGGGGGAGGAGCCAGTGTGGGCCCCACCCACAACCATTGTGTCGGGGAAGATAATGAGCGGGAGGCCGGGTCCTGGCCAATCAGAATGGAGTATGTAAATCAGCGCCCTCCGAGGCTGCGGGGGCGGGGTTCCAGGGCACTGTGCGGTAGTCCTTAAACCGGTGCTGACCGGGCGAGCGGACCCCAGAAGCGCAGAGGAGACGCTGGTGAGCTGCTGGGGCCGCCAAGGCGCCTCTGGTCTGGAAAATTTGTTGGGCACACTAGTCGTCCCAGACAGTTGCAAACAGAGGGCAACTGTCCGCAGATGCCTGGCAGGTCCCAGCAGAGAGGGGTGGGGCGTCTGAAGCACACCCCGAACAGGGAGTGAGGGGCCCATAGAGGCCTGGATCTACCTTCACTTCCTCTCCCGCCCTATACAGAGGAGTCTGCATCTGTGCTGTCGAACCTGAGAAAGGAAGCAGAAAGCAAATTTAATTACCCACATCATGGCAAGGTACCGCCACCACTCAGGATATCTGGCTGATGACGAGGCTGGTCACAACACCTACATGGCTCGGGTAAGTTTGTCCAGCTGACCCGACATTAGTGTCCGGACTACTTCCACCGCTTTCTCATCTCCAGTTGATCTCCCTGGGTCACCTGGCAACACCCAGATTTTAGCTTTGACTCCCCTTAGGCCTGCCTGCCGAGCCCTGATCACCCTGATCACCCTTTCACACTCCCCTCCCCGTGGCCCTCAGGGGGTACTCGGGTGGGCTGGAAGACCTGAGGAGGAGCATGGAGTCAGGAGTCAGCGTGGAGACTCAAGCTGGAGAAGCAGGCTCTAGTCCTCAAGTGTAGCGCCCCAGGGAAGACAATGCAGGGTTGTGCTAGAGACAGGAGGAGGTAGAGGAGGAGGAAGGGCCTCATAGCTGCCCTCTCATACCATGAACACAGAGTTCCACTTTCAGGCTCCCAGCTAGGCCTGGCATATATGAAATATAGGCATTGGGGACCTTCAGGTCACCCCTACTTTGCAGAGAAGGCCTGAAGAGGATCTGTTCTGAGCACTGTCACACAGCCTGAAGGTAGCAGAGCTGGGATTCAAACCCAGGATTACCAGACTTTTAATGTCATTCAGAGCTGTGAGATGGTCCAGTGAGTTAAGGCACTTGGCATCAAGACTGATGGCCTGAGTTCCATCCTCAGGATCCACACAGTAGAAGGAGAGAACCGGTTACAACCAGTTGTCCTTTGACCTCCACACATGCACTAAGGCACACATGCACCCACAGATGCTATAAAAAATCAAATGCAGGGGCCTGGAGAGATGGCTCAGAGGTTAGGAGCACTGACTGCTCTTCCAGAGGTCCTGAGTTCAATTCCCAGCAACCACATGGTGGCTCACAACCATCTGTAATGAGATCTGGTGCCCTCTTCTGGCCTGCTGTCATATATGCTGTATACATAATAAAAAAAAAAATCAAATGCAGTTCAGTGGTTGAACATTTGCAGAAGCATGTTTAAGGCCCTGGGTTCAAGTCCTAGCACCAACAAACCTAAAAAGAGAAAAAGTCTTTCTCATTGTTCAGTCCCACGCAGCTCCTAATAGCTCCTTAGGAGGACTCCAGAAATAACCCCACCCCTTGCCGAGCACCCTGCCTGCTATGACCAGTCTGTCTGTTCAGATGCAGCTGCACAAGAAGCACCTGTTGCCAGAAAGGGGGTCAACCTGCAGACTTGGACGTGTGCCACACCTACCATCCATGAACCGATACTCAGAGCACCAGGGCCACCAGCAAAAGCCTAGGCGCCCCCAGGTGTTTGGCAGCTTCCTGGATTTCCTGACGGAGGGACAGGTACTGGAGAGCCTGCAGACAGTGGTGGAGCAGGCAACAGAGCGTTTGGCTACCACCAAGACAGAGGCCGGAGTGCCACTGGTGGATGTACAAGACCCATTGGAGGTGCCAAGTGGCAGGCAGCGGGCCCGAGGCAGGCCCAGCATCAACTCTGTGCGCCGGCACCGCACTCGGCCCACGCTCTGTGCTGGGCGCCCAAACAATTACCCGTCCCGCTCCAGCTCCGTGTCCGACGGCCATAGCAGTGTCACAGCTGGCTGGCCGGGCTCCCACGGCCAGGACAGTAATCCTGGTGCCCGAGGCCTAGGCTCACTGCCACCTATGAGGGACAAACTCCTGCTTGAGAAAAACCTCAAGAGGCTACTGCGTCTGGAGAACAAAGGGGTGAGATCTGTGGCCATGCTAAAGCTGGCGCAGGGTGGGCCTGAGCTCAGGGCTGGGTTGTTAGGCCTGGGTGGACACCGCTCAGCCTTCCTTTCTCTTTGCAGAAAGGCCTGAATCAATCCTGCTCCCGGAGGGACTCTCTGCTGTGGGACTCACTGGGCAGCCATACCAGCAGCCAGTGGACCCGGGAGCAGCCCCTGTCTTGGGTCACTGGGCTTTGGGGATCCAGCTCAACCACCCCTGAAACATCAGAGCTGGGACTCGGAGAACAGGAGATGATTTTCCTTAGAGAAGAGTTAAACAAGGAGATGAAGTCACTGTTTAACCAGCCAGCATCCTTCAACGTGCCTGCCTATTGTTCACTCAGGGAACCCCATTGTACCCTGGACTTCCTAGCTGAGCATCGCCTCTTTCCTGCCCTGCAGCGTGTGGTCAGCCAGGCCGTAGACAAGCTCAGCCATGCCTGCCGCCACGACAGCTTCCCCCTCTTCCCTGTTGCCTCGGAGCCCGCCTCAATGCTGCCTGGGAACTCTGATCTTCTGCAGCCGGACTCTAAGGCATCCGTGCCCACCAGCAGGGAGGATGGGGTAGAGCCGTGTGACTCTCCTACCACAGCCTCCAGCCTTAAGACCGCTCGTAAGAAAAGCAAGGGCAGACGGGAGTCCCCCTCCATGTCTAACGCCCAGATGACTACCAGATTCAGGCTCAAGGTGATGCCTACGCAAGTGTCTAATGTCCCTACCCCCTCACTGCACTCCCTGCAGGAGTCCCCTGACTCCGATCCCAAGCTGCAGAAACCACCTGTGGCCCTGAGCTCCAAGCGGATTATTCAGCCCTGTCACGGCCTGCACCTCACCCTGCCCGCCCCTGGGATCACAGTGGAGGTTGCCTCTGGCCGCATCAGGGGCCCCATCTAGCATCCTCTTCCCTCCCTCCCCCCTTCCCTGTGTTCTCCCCACGCCTTTTTTTGGGAAAAAGCTTCTCCCTTCCTCTACTGCAGTGTGTTCAGAGGTGGCCTCAGGAGTAGGGCTGGAGGCGTAGAAGAATGTCCGCAGGGAAAGGGCTCCTCCCCACACCGGGGAGCCGCTGTCGCTGATGTCCAAGGACAAGATCTCTTGCCCTGAGTTGCAGAAATCTTCTGGGGGAGATCCAAGCTGCTGGGGGGCAGGAAACCTAGCCTACCTATTTTCCCAGGGGTTGTCAAAGACTAATAAAGGCTATTTTTACCCTGCGATTTTTTTTCTCCCTGAAACAGGGTGTCACGTAGCCCAGGCTGGTCTTTCAAATTCATTCCATAGTCGGGGATGACCTTGGACTCCTGATATTCTTGCCTTTACCTTCTAAATGCTGGGATTACAGGCACGTATCATCATGCCTCCTGCAATTTGGGTATTTTTTAAAATTATTGTTTGTGAGCCTCCCCCCGAAAAAAACAGGGTTTCTCTGTGTAGCCCTGACTGTCCTGGAACTCTCTCTGTAGACCAGGCTGGCCTCGAACTCAGAGAGTCCCCTACTTCTGTCTCTCAAGTGCTGGGATCAAAGGCAAATGCCACCACACCCTGGCTTTGTGAATCGCAGAGACCCTGCCACATGTCTCCTATGAACAGGAGCCTTTACCAAGAGCACCACTCTGTATTCTAGGGTGGAGTAGGTCAAGCTGTCCTAATCCAGCTGTAGGACTCTAGTCTTTCTGCTCGGTAAAGGGGACATTGGTCAGGAAGTATGTATGAAGACATAGGGGGCCTGACCCTTGGAGGTCCTGGAGTCTCTCAGCCCTCCATCATCAGGCTCAGGTGTGATTCCTCCTGTACACCAGCTTGCAGGAGCCCAGGCTGCCCAGGCTGCCCAGGCTGCCCAGGCTGGTGGGCACTGCTCTAGCCCTGACAGGTGAGGCGTGGAGAGTGAATGTCGTGGCAGAGCAGGTGTGGCAGGGACGATTGGTACAGGAGGGCACAGGGGTGTGGTTTCTCAGGGCAGCAGAGGGATGGCAGCAACAGGGCTAAATGTCTCCCTTCCCTCCTTGCCTGTTGCACAGAGCCCTGGCACAAAGTTTCCGAGGAAGAAGCCCCTGCCGTCCATCTCATCTGTGTCCAGCTTGTCCTACATCTCTAACCCCTGGTTTGAGGAGCTCACTAGCTTTTTGGTTGAGCAGGCGGTCTCCCTGCTTCTCTGCAAGCACAAGTTTGAGGAAAGCCTCACTAAGCAGCTTGGCTTCATCTCCTTTCCTATCACTGAGTTTCTCATGGACATCTTTCTGGGCTTCAAGAAGGTGAAGGGCACCCACATCCGTTTGTCCTCAGACATCAACTGGACCTGCCTTCTGCGCAAGTTGGAAGAAGCCGAGTTGGCAAGGCAGGCCATGAGGCATGCCTCCAGGTCCGCGGCCTCCCGCCCTAGTACCTCCCGTGTTGGCACCTCCCGCCATAGCTCAGAATCGCCCTCCGTGCAGCCCAAACTGACAGGTGACGCCCCTCAGGATCAGAGTGCAGGGTCCCGATTCTCCCTGCGTCCTGAGTTGCCAATCCGCCAGCTGCTCAGCCCTCGGGATCCTGGCATAGGCCAGGAACAGATGCCCAGGAGCCCTTCAGAGCCCAAGCTGTCTGTGTTCAGTGCTGGTATGGTCTCCAGATCCTCCCAGTCCAAGGAAGTAGTAAATACCGAAGAGGGTGAGGACAGTGAAGAGGAGGAGGACGGGGGAAGTGAAGAAGATGAACTCAAGAATTCCTCTGAGGATGAGCAGCCTGAGGTTAGCCTGCCTGAGCCTGAGGTGGAGGACTTAATCAATGAGTCCATCGTAAAGAGCCCCAATGACTCCCCATGAGACCCCTGGAAGCCACACAGAGTGCTCCCCTCTGCCTCCTCCTGCCCTATCCCAGCAGCTGGCCGCCCAGCCGGACCCTGTCCAGTGAGGGTCAGACAAATGGGTGCTCAGCAAGTCCTGCCGCTGTTATCAAAGGAGCGAGAGACAGGTGGAAATAAATGCCACGATGATGACACAGTTGTCCAGTCCCGGGTGTGTTGTGTCTTTCCTTGCACCTGGATGGATGCCTACCCTTGAATAGCACCTGCAGGGTGAGCCAGCCCTGAAGTTACATGCTTTTCTTTGGGATACAAGACAGAGCACTGATGCCACACTAAAGGAATAATTTTACCAAGGTCCAACTTGGTGAACCAATGATTTTATTGGGTTTACAGGAGAATGGATGAGTGATTTCCTACAGGAGTGTGTGACCTCCAAACAGCTCCATCACCAAAAAGTCTCATGCCAGTTTGGATAATGACAATAGCTGCATAAACAGGAATCCCCTCCCCTGCCCGCCGCCCCCCCCCCAGCCTAGGCTCCACTTCTTCCATACTGTGTAGACTCTAGTACAGTGGTTCTCAATTCCTAATGCTACGGCCCTTAGTACAGTTCCTCATGCTGTGGCGACCCCTCAACCATAAAATTATTTTTGTTGCTGGGCGGTGGTGGTGCACGCCTTTAATCCCAGCACTCGGGAGGCAGAGGCAGGTGGATCTCTGTGAGTTTGAGGCCACCCTGGTCTACAGAGCGAGATCCAGGAAAGGCACCAAAACTACACAGAGAAACCCTGTCTCGAAAAACCAAATAAATAAATAAATAAATAAATAAATAAATAAATAAATAATAAAAATAAACATGCTAAGGTTCCAGCTGTGTCAGGTCGAGAACTCCACATGATCCCAGCTTGTATGTGTGTCTGTATGTCTGTCCCTTCTTTGGCACCCTGAGTCAAGGTTTCAGGACCCGTGCCTTTCTGTTAATGGCAATGTCTGCTTTGGGAAGATCTTCCCTCAGCTTGGGTAGCTTCCTTCTTGCTTTGATGTGCTCCACGCTCACCTTGAAACTATGGAAGAATACAGCCACACCCTTCTGACCCTTGCAGGGCTCTCTTTCTTTCTAATTTGCTTTGTTGTCTCTAATTCCAGAGACTGAGTTTTCGTGCCAGGCCATATCGTGGCTGTTGGTTGGAGGTTTCAAGATCAACATAACTGTCCAGCAACAGTTCTTGGTAGGAAAGATGTATTATCAGGGTCCTCTGGAGTAACAGAATTTATAGAATGAATCTCTTTATAAATATGTATAGAAATGGGGTTCATTAGAAAGATTAACAGGCTGTGGTCCAGCTGATCCGAAAATGGCAGGCTGTGAACAGAAAGTCCAAGAATCCAGGTGTTGTTGTGTGCACAAGCCTGGGTGTCTCAGCTGTTCCTCAGTACACACTGGAATCCTGAAGAAGCAGGCTCTAATGCCAGTGAAGGAATGGACTTGCTAGCAAGGTGAGAGCAAGCAGGCAAAGAGCAAAAGTTCCCTTCTTCCATGTCCTTACATGGGCTTCCAGCAGAAGGCATGGCTCAGATTAGATCTGGATTAAAGATCTGGAATAAAGATGTCTTCTTGGCTGGGTGGTGGTGGCGCACACCTTTAATCCTAGGGAGGCAGGAGCAGGTGGATCTCTGAGTTTGAGTCCAGCCTGGGCTACAAAGAGAGTTCCAGGACAGCCAGAACTGTTACACAGAGAAACTTTGTCTCAAAAAACAGAAACAAGCCAGGTGGTGGTGGTGGTGGCGGCGGCGGCGGCGGCGGCGGCGGCAGCGGCGGCGGCGCACGCCTTTAATCCCAGCACTCGGGAGGCAGAGGCAGGCGAATCTCTGTGAGTTCGAGGCCAGCCTGGTCTACAGAGCGAGTTCCAGGAAAGGCGCAAAGCTACACAGAGAAACCCTGTCTCGAAAAACCAAAAAACCAAAAAACAAAACAAAACAAAAACAAAAAACAGAAACAAACAAAAAAAGATGTGTGCTCTTGCCTCAAAGATCAGATTAGAAGTTGTAGCACGAATCCTAATTGGTTTTAATAAAAACCCAAAGCCAGATATCAGGGTAAATGCAGAAAGATCAGGAACACAAAGGAACGAGCCACAGCCACCTCTCACCTCACCAACTCCTCAGCCGAAAAAGCTGAGATCCTGTCTCCTCCCGCCTTATATTCCTTTCTCTGCCCAGCCATGTCACTTCCTGTCTCAACCTGCCTAGTGCTGGGATTAAAGGTGTGTGTGCCACCACTGCCTGGCCTCTATGGCTAACTAGTGGCTGGCTTTGCCCTCTGGTCTTCAGGCAAGCTTTATTTGTTAGAGCACAAACAGAATATCACCACAAGAAGTGGATCTCCCCACTTCAAATGAAGCAGAAATTCCTCACAGGTGTGTCCTCTATTTTTGGGTTTTAGATAATTCTGGATGTAGTTAACAACTAAGAAGAGCCACCACAGGTCTTCCTGGAAGGGCCTGCGGCTCCTACTGACTGGCGGCTTTCCTGCCAGAGCTCTCCTAGAGATGTAGCCCAGTTGGAGTGCTTGCTGAGGATGCACAAAGCCCTGGGCTCCACTTCCAGGACCATTCAAACTAGACACAGTGGCAGTCCAGAACCCCCTGCACTTGGGAGGTGGAGCAGGAGGGTTGGAAGTTTAAGGTCGTCCTTAGCAATACAGCAAGTCCAAGGCCGGCTTGTGACACATGAGACGCTTGCCTCAAAATTAGCAAACACACACACACACACACACACACACACACACACACATCTAGTGGACTTGTGTTGCCTCTCCCTGAGGCATAGACCCTCAGAGGCTCCCCTGATTCATAGAGATCAGGCCCTTTTGGCCATACTTGACCACTTAGGGACCCAGAAAGGGGTCCCTCCACAAGGCCCTGGGATATGGAGAGGAAGCAACTATAGAGCTTACTCTGGAGACAGGCAAGAGAAACATGGTCACACCTTATATTCAAGGAGAGCTTGGCTGTCATTCTGCAGGACCAAGATCCTAAGGTGGTGGATCAGGGACCCATTTATATCAGAGGCCATTATAGCCCAGTGGTTCCTTGTTGCTATGTCCCATTGGCCTGACCCTATTCCAAAGCTAAGACCGTAGTTAGGACAAACCAAGAGATTCCGGTTACTTGCACTGGTCACTGGAAACATATGCAGATGGTGGAGAGTGGCCTTTGACTACTCTTCCAGAGACAAAATATCCTGTCAGAAGACACCTGTCAAGAGGGGTCCCTTGGTTTTCAAAGACAATCACTACCACTGTCAGTTTCCATTGCGAAGTCCAAAAAGAGAGCCTTGCTCTGCCACAGCCTCAGAGATGCACATCTCTGGGGAGACTGGGAGAAACGCTTTGGGAATCACTAATACATTATGCTAGAAACATGGCATCTTTAGCCCATGTTCTGGTCATCTTTTGGAAGACTTAAGTAGCTTCAAGGGTAGTAATCATGCCATTGAAGTTGACAGGCTAAAGTTCATGTCATTGTTTTCAGCTGTTCGTGTCTAAAGCTGGAACATTCTAAATGAGCTCTCTCCCTACAGAGTCTCTCCTACATGCAGCCTCTCTAGATTCAGTCATCTAGCCTGAATTTTACCTCTCTCTCTCTCTTTCTTCTGTCCTTCCTTCCTTTCCTTCTTTCTTTCCTTATTTTATGTGTATGGGTTTTTTGTTTGTTTGTTTGCACCATATGTCTGCCCCCCCCCGGAAGAGAAAAACAGATCCCATGGAACCACAGTTGGAGACAGTTGTAAGCTTCCATGTGGGTGCTGGGAATTGAACCTGGGACCTCTGGAAGAGCAACCAGTGCTCTTAATTGCTGAGCCATCTCTCCAGCCCTGAATTGTAGTTTTCATAAACCTCAGAGACTTTCTAGAAGGAGGAGTAAGAACTGCTGAAGTTTTTGAGGCTGCAGCTGAGAAGCCCCCCAATGCTTCCCTCTTCAGTTTTTCCATTGGTTAGAGTCACAATGTCCGCACAGATTCAAGAGCATAGGAAAAGGAAACTGTTGCTCGAATTTCTAAAATAGTCTTTTAACAAAAACCCAGAGCCAGATACAGGCTTACAGCACAATGGGAAAACCCTGGAGGGCAGAAGTTTGCTACAGATGTTTTACAATCTTGCATCTAAGCTGTTAACGTCCATTATGCATGATTCATAAGGAACTTCCCTTAAGGATTCAGGAGGGTGGAACCCGGCAGGGAATTAGCATAGGGATTATATCAAGGTCAAGGTCAGCAAGCAAGGCAACAGCTATCTAAAACGGGGGCCAGGCACTTACAGGTCCCCCTTTTACTAATAAATGAGCTTCTGACTTAGGTTGCATGGGACATCAGCAGGTCACCTTACCCGTCATGGAGACGCCTGCCCAGGCCACACAGGCACTCTGTCTTAGGTTGGTGAGTGCCCCCTAGGCATTACCCATCTCTGAATACTCATTATCATACAGGCTCAATCATGTGTGAGCTGCAGAGTTAACTGCTGCCAAAGATCTCAAAGTGGCACTGGGCTTGCAATCTGTGTGTTCGACACAGAAAAGATCAACAGAAGTCCTAACCCACCCATAGCCAGTAGGTTAAAGGCAATTGAGCCTTTCCCTTCCTTAACAAGCTTTACTGCAAATTGGAGTCCTTGTAAGATGGTATCCCAAAGGCAAATGGAACTTGAGTTAATAAATTTATAATTTTAAAAGCCAATCGAAATGTATATAACTATTGAATTAAATTTATCATGCCCAATAGAATGAAAGATTAATTAACTGTAGTAGCTACTTTTGCTGCCAGGGTCTCCACTGTGCTAGCTATATAAGCAATTATGAAATGGTAATCCCAGAAACAGTAGCAGTGGTGGCCACCTCTGCTATAACAGCAACAACAGCACCAGCAATGTCAAATTCTCTTCTGGAGTGTGTGGGCATCCACTGGCATGGACAAAACTCCAGGAACACGAACTGTCAAGGTCCATTTTTCTTGATCCCAGCACGACTTAATCAGGCAGCTCTGCAAAAGAACAACTAAGAACCATAAAGAAAAAACAGGCAGCTTACAAAGAGCATAACTAATGATCTTATAATGGCTACATTTAGGCTGATAATTTTGTTTTGGTTTTTCGAGACAGGGTTTCTCTGTGTAGTTTTTCACTTTTCCTGGAGCTCACTTGGTAGCCCAGG